AAAATTGCAGATTTGGAGCTTAAGACTTCTTACGATTTAATCTTTGCAACCTTCGCTAAACAAAATTTTTGGAAGGTATTTGCAGTGCACTTACCAATGCTCAAGTACGAATTCAATCGGGTAACTTCCTGCGCAGAAAATGCTGCGCCAGGTATGAAAACAGATCCATGAGTATCGCTAACGCCAAATGCCAACGTCTCACAAACATTGGTCACCACAACCGTCTAAAAGGAGTCATAGACTTTAAAAAAACCAGATGCTTTGAAGTTTTATGCGGAACAACCTGATTGGTCAGTAGACTGGTTTTCGAGACAGATAGGGCCGTAGGTGGATCTTGCGAGATAGATTCTCCACATCCATTATCAGTCTGCTTCACCATAGGACGAACCTAACAAGTGCATATATAATGAAATTGGAAGGATTGACTCGGACGCGAGCTTTCTTGTGGACTTTGGAAAAAAAACTGAACGGCATCAAGGAAGAAACTGTAACTACCTTAACCGCTCTCCATTTGCAGCCATTCTTCCCCTCTTGTGGTATCATCCTGACGTGTACCATATCTCCAACTGCATAACGATTTGAAAAGTTGGGTACATGTTCGGTAGCAGGAATTGCAGCAGCTAGAGGGCAAAATACACTTCCCACAGAAGTTTCAATGAAGGCAAATTTGGTTTCCACGCGAGATAGGCGACCGGATGTTGTTAGCTTTTCAACCATCAGCACCTGCAAAGTATACGAAATAAGCAGGGCAGCAGCAATAATTCCCCTCAAAACGTAAAAGCTTGCATTAAATTAACTTTTTGTACAAAAAACGCTGCACAGTGTACAGTGCCATCTTAATAGAGTATGGCAGTCCTTGCAACTTTTCTTGGAAATATTTTCTGAAAGCTTTACAAGCAGTAAACGTTAAAAATTCAACTAGATTAGTATCACAGGTGATCCGTACACCAAAACCGTAACTAACAAATTACTTAACTTTATTATATGCATGTGGGTTCAAAATCAGGTCTTTTTAAGGGCGATCTAAATGTACGTAGCTGGCTGCGCGGGTGGTTCCCCTCGCGCGACTATTGCAGCCACTGTAGACAGATAGCTTAGGGTATCTCCATA